GGCATATAGTGAGTGAAATGTCGCATAAATTCTAGGCACTAGTGGTGTGGCATATAGTGAGTGAAATGTCGCATAAATTCTAGGCGTTAGTGGTGTGGCATATAGTGAGTGTAATGTCGCATAAATTTTAGGCGTTAGTGGTGTTGCATATAATGAGTGATGTTTCTTAAATTCTAGGCATTAGTGGTGTTGCATACAGTGAATGAAATGACGCATAAATTTTAGGCGTTAGTGGTGTGGCATATAGTGAGTGAAATGTTGCATAAATCCTAGGTGTTAGTGGTGTGGCATATATTGAGTGAATTATTGCAGAAATTCTAGGCGTAAGTGGTGTGGCATATAGTGAGTGAAATGTCGCATAAATTCCAGGCCTTAGTGGTGTGGCATACAGTGAGTGAATTATTGCAGAAATTCTAGGCATTAGTGGTGTGGCATATAGTGAGTGAAATGTTGCATAAATTCTAGGTGTTAGTGTGTGTGTTATATAGTGAATGAAAGGTCACATAAATTCTAGGCATGAGTGGTGTGTTATATAGTGGTTGAAATGTCGCATGAATTCTAGGCATTAGTGGTGTGCCATATAGTGAGTGAAATGTCGCATAAATTCTAGGCATTAGTGGTGTGGCATACAGTGAGTGAAATGACGCATAAATTTTAGGTGTTAGTGGTGTGGCATATAGTGAGTGAAATGTTGCATAAATTCTAGGCATTAGTGGTGTGCCATATAGTGAGTGAAATGTCGCATAAATTCTAGGCATTAGTGGTGTGGCATATAGTGAGTGAAATATCGAATAAATTCTTGGCGTTAGTGGTGTGGCATATTGTGAGTGAAATGACGCATAAATTTTAGGTGTTAGTGGTGTGGCATATAGTGAATGAAAGGTCACATAAATTCTAGGCATTAGTGGTGTTGCATATAGTGAGTGAAATGTCACATAAATTCCAGGCGTTAGTGGTGTTGCATATAGTGAGTGAAATGTTGCATAAATTCTAGGCGTTAGTGGTGTGGCATATAGTGAGTGAAATGTTGCATAAATTCTAGGCGTTAGTGGTGTGCCATATAGTGAGTGAAATGTCGCATAAATTCTAGGCGTTAGTGGTGTGCCATATAGTGAGTGAAATGGTACATAAATTCTAGGCATTAGTGGTGTGGCATATAGTGAGTGAAATGACGCATAAATTTTCGATGTTAGTGGTGTGGCATATAGTGAGTGAAATGACGCATAAATTCTAGGCGTTAGTGGTGTGTTGTATAGTGAGTGAAATGTCGCATAAATTCTAGGCGTTAGTGGTGTGGCATATAGTGAGTGAAATGTTGCATAAATCCTAGGTGTTAGTGGTGTGGCATATAGTGAGTGAATTGCTCCATAAATTCTAGGCGTTAGTGGTGTGGCATATAGTGAGTGAAATGTTGCATAAATTCTAGGCGTTAGTGGTGTGGCATATAGTGAGTGAAATGTTGCATAAATTCTAGGCGTTAGTGGTGTTGCATATAGTGAGTGAAATGTCGCATAAATTCTAGGTGTTAGTGGTGTTGC